GCTCTTTCTGTGTGCGAGCTTTGTAACCCGCTGACGGAACGATTGCCTGTATGTTCGCGTGTAGGTTGACTTGGAGACCGTCCCGGCCTCGCGCAACAGCACGGAGCGCAAGGGCGAGCCCGAGATCGACTCTGTCGGCCCCGTCCACAGGACGGGGATCATCGTTCGGGGGCGCGACACCTTTCTGCCCGTGAACGACACGTCGCCCGAGTTGCGGCCCGCCGACGCTGGGAAGCTTGGGATGCTGGAGGTGCGGAAGCTGGTCGAGACTGGCCTCGGCGCGCCCGTCTCTAGCATGCACGCCGGCGGCGAGTGGCGGGCGAACGACGGATGGGCGAACGCTTCTCGAGTCCCGACCAAGGATTCTGTCGAGACCGAGGCGCCGCCGGGTGCGGCGTCCGCCCCTCTCGCGACCTTTGAGGCGTCCATCGGCCTCCTGCTCGCCCCGATCGGCCCGCCAACGATCAAGCCGGCGGACGGCGAGCGAGTGGCAGCGCCCCGGCACCTCCTCTTCCTCCAGAGCGACCGGGCCGTCGATGCGCGTCTGACGGTCGCGCTGGGGGAGTCTGCGTGTACTGCAGAGCTCCGCTCCACCCGGATCTCCGACTCGAACGCGGTCTTGTCCGATCTCTTCTCCGTCTCAAGCGGGTGCTCCGACTGGCAGCGTGCCTGCGCCTCCTTTGCCCGCGCCAACTCCTCGCTGCTCGAGGTCGGGCAGGGCGAGCTGAAGCGGGCGGATCAGGCGCTTGGCGACCCGCACTGCACTCCCCACGCCGCTGCATCGGCTGCCAAACCGTCACGCCTCTGGCTATGCCCACCCGCGCCGCTGTCCGGTCTACCTGCCCTGTCTGCCCTGCATCAACACTCGCTCCTTTGGCCCCTGCAGGTGCGCATCCGCCACCCGGCCTTTGCGCTCGAGTCCGAGGAGCCACCAGGCTGCTGGGCCGCCTCTGGCAACGCCCAGGCGTCGCTGCCCATCCCGGCCAAGTGGTCTGAGACTGAGGCGTTGCCCATGACCGAGGTGGCGGAGGAGCAGCGCAGCGAGGCGTCGCTGGAGGAGGTCTGCGCCACTCAGATCGCCGACTCGAAGACGGTCGAGTCGACCGATCTCTTCTCCGCAGCTTGCCACCACCGCCCCATCTCCCTTGAATCCTCTCCCTGCTCCGCCGCCCTCCCCTGCGCCGCCCTCCGCCCCCTCTCGCCCCCCCTTCGCCCCTCCCTCGCTCCCCGCTCCCACACCGTCGGCCCCACCTCGGCGCCTCCGCTGTGCGCGCCGTCCCCGCCTTTCCGCTCCACCCCCCCCCCCCCCTCCCTTCACAGAACAAGCCTGTCCCGGGCTTCACGAGCGGAAGCTTCTCTTCCGCGCCTGGCCGCGCCCGGCAGCGCGGTCAGCTTTGGGCCTTGTTCTTGCTGCTCGCGTTTCTCAGCCCAACCAAGCACACAATCAAGGCGGTCCGTCTCGCACGCGAGTACTATCTCGCCGTGCGCGACAAGGCGATGGCCGCGATCTTGCTCACCAAGATACAGCGGGCGAAGCTGGACGCCGAGCGGTCGGGGTGCGGGTGCAAGTGCCGGCGCAAGGCCATGCGCTGCCGCAACAACCCCAAGTTTGGCAAGGCAAAGGGCAGGCGCAAGTCTGGCAAGGCAAAGGGCAGGCGCAAGTCTGGCAAGGCAAAGGGCCGCGGCCGCGGCTCGCACCGGCGACCGAAGCCGCGCGGCGGGCCGCAGACGCCGCCTTGCAAGTCGCCGGACCGGCGCCGCGAGCCGCAGACCACGTCCGGCAAGGGGCCATTCGCCTCTGGCACGTGCGGCGCCGGCGCTGGCACATGCGGCGCCGGCGGTCGCGCCGGCCTCAAGGCGGCGGCCGACTGCGTACGGGGCGGCTACACGAAGGCCGCGGGCGCCTTCCGGTGGCTGCTCCTCGTCTGCATCCCCGCCTTGGGCCACTGCGCGCCCGCCGTGCCTAGCCCGACGGCAGTGGCCTCGGCCTTCTCGCCTGCCGTCGCCTCGGCAGCCTCCGTCGCCTCATCGGCGTCCTCTACGTTCTCATCCGGCGTCGCCTCGGCGGCGTCCTCGGTTTTCTCGCCCGCCGTCGCCTCGAAGGCGTCCTCGCTCGTGAGCTGCTCGCCGTTTCTCATGCCCGCCCTCGTGCTCATCCTACTCGCCATCGCTTGCGGCGCCTCCTGCCCGACCGCGGCGAGCGGAAAGGGGGCTCGGCGCGGCGTGGGCCACCTGCCTCGCCTCCGCCACGGCGTGCCTCCCCAGCGCGGCGGCGTGCCTCCCCAGCGCGGCGGCGGCGCCTGCTGGCTGAGCAAGAGTGGCGGCTTGGTGGCCTTCCTGCTGCTGCTCTCCGCCCTCCCCGTGGCTCGGGCTGGGTCGGGCGAGGCTGGGTCTGGCGAGGCTGGCTCTGGTGAGCAGGGCTCCGGACTTTGGGAGGTGCCGCCGTCGCTGCCGCCTCTGTCTCCGCTCTCGTACCCGCTCGCATACTACACCATCACCACGACGCCGGGATCGTACCCTAGCGAGGTGAGCTGGGACCTCTGGTGCGGCGGCGAAGTCGTCCTCTCGTCGGCGCCCTACGCGAGCGGAGAGCCTTTCCAGACCGAGTACGGCGTCTCCCTCTCGCCCGGCGTCGAGTGCGAGCTCGTCATGTACGACTCGTACGGCGATGGCTGGAACGGCGCTAGCTGGTCGGGCCTCGGGCAGGATGGCCTCGCCGTTGCCTATGGGTCCGAGGAGCGGAGGTCTTTTGTTGTGCCGTTCGCGTCGCCGCCATCGGCGCCGCCGCCGCCGCCGTCTCCCCTCTCCGAGCAGCTCAGCTGCACCTTTGACTTGGACATTTGCGGCTGGTCCGACACCGCGCCGGACGGGTACTATTGGACTCGCACCAGCGGCGGCACTCCATCGTCAGGCACAGGCCCGAGCGGCGACCACACCACCGGCTCGGGCTCCTACCTCTTCACCGAGGCCTCGTCTGGCCGCTCCAACAAGCTGCACCAGCTCGAGAGCCCGCTCTTCTCGCTCCAGCAGGAGGCCACCCTCTCCTTCTTCTACCACATGTACGACATTACTGACTCGGCCATGGGCACCCTCTCCGTCGAGGCGCACGTGGACGGCAGCGGATGGTCGACGCTCTGGAGCAGGACTGGCAACCAGGGCAACGACTGGCTCGACGCGTCGATCGTCCTACCCGCATTGACGACGCAGGTGCGCCTCAACGGCAAGACGGGAAATGACTGGAGCTCGGACATGGCGCTGGACGACGTCTCCTTCTCGCGGGTTGCGCCGCCGTTCCTGCCGCCGTTGCCGCCGTCGCCCCCGCTCGTCCCGCCGCTGCCCCCGCTCGTCCCCGGCGAGAGTCTCGCCCACACGCGTCAAGACATCCAGGACGAGATCAACAAGGCCGCGGACCAGGGCCTCAACGCGAGCGTCTTCATTCCGCCGGGCGCCCGCCTTGCCTTTAGCAGCAACGTCGAGTGCAGCGGCGACATGCACCTCTCGGTCCGGAGCAGCGGGGAGGGCGCGAGGCTCGACGGCAAGAAGAGCTCCCGCATGTTCCACATCTCGAGCGGCTGCAGCCTCTACCTGGAGGCGCTGCACTTTGTGGACGGGCGCAGTGATCGTGGCGGTGCGGTGCGCGCGGATGGCGCTGGCGACATTGCGATGAAAGACGTGTCCTTCACGGGCTGCGAGGCTTACCAAGTGCGCCGCCCCTCTCTCCCACGCACCGCTCGGCCCCGCAAGCCCTCGCCACTCTTAGTCGCTAGCCTGAGCAGCCGTCGAGCGTCGGCCTGCGCAGGAAGGCGGGGGCGCGAGTGGGAACGGAGGAGCTGTGAATGTGGCCAACAGCGGCGACGTCTCGCTGGAGCGCGCCAGCTTCAGCGAAGGCGCCCCCCAGCAGCAGAGCGCTGTTGCTGGGGGGGGGGGGGGGGGTCGCCCATGGCTTTAGATGTGCAGGGGGGGGGGGGGTAGTGCGGCCGCTCTGTCCCTAACAAGGCTAAAACTCTGCTTACTCTCTTCTGTGTCTTTCTACTTTCACAAAGGAAAGAGGAAGAAATTTTGTGAACATGCAGGGCGGGGACACACACATGTCCCTAGAACCTCTCGTCTTAGAGCTTGACCGTTTTATAGCCCCCCGCTACCCGGTTGCACTCGTGCGACGTAGCGGGGGGCCATCACTAGTGAAACGAGTGCGAGGGAACTGCAAAAGGGTGCTTTTGGGGCTCCGGTTCGTGAATCGCAACAAATACCGGGCTTCTTATCGTGGTTATTTTAAGAGCAAGTAAACAGCAATAGATCCGGCCCTCAACCGGCCTAATCGGTACCCAGCCCTCACGGAATCGGTCCCTCGTTGTACAGCAATCGATCCTTCACAGCTGCCCGCCCTGCCAAACTTGCCGAGAATCGGTCCTCCATGATGCATGAAGGTTCTGGCATGGAATGTACTGTCGGGAGTCGGGTAGGTGTTGAGTGTACCCTTGCATCCCGCCAGTGTGATGTATCTGCTGTGCCGAACGTGCGCGTTTGGCATGCGGAACCTCTCACCTGGTGCGCGTGGCAACGGGTCTGTGCCCCCCCCCCCCCCCCGCCCGGGTGTTTAGCAATTGGTCCCTTGGCAAGTGCAAATCGGTCCCCCTGGCTCCAGGAACTGATCCGGCACTACACCCGGATCTATTGCTGTTTACTTGCTCTTAAAATAAGTACCCGACGGTAGCTCCCCGGCCCTGGATGTGAGGTTGATAACTCCAAGTGCTCCAAGTGCACACAGGAAAAAGAATTCAAAGACCTCTCTCGCACAGCACACAGGTTCGATTTGCCAACAATACACCTAAAAAAACACAGGTTCGACACAGGTACCAAAAGAGGCACAGCCGGCGACGGGCGGGGGGACACGCTCAGAGTCAGACCAAGCCTGAGGAGACCAAGCCTGAGGAGGCCAAGCCTCCCGCGTCAGCGCGCCGCGATCAGGCGTCTCGTCTCCGTCCCACCGCGCCGGCGGCTCAAACAATCGGAGCGTGCTCGCGCAGCCACTTGGCCGCAATCTCGCGGTTTCCGGCGCTGTTCTTGACTGAGCAGCCTGGCATCTTGCGGAACCAGCGAGTGGCCTGCTTGTCGTCCTTCTTGAGGCCCCAGAGCCCAAGCTGGTGACCGAAACCCTTCAAGTAGCAGGCGTGCTCCGCCCCTAGCGCACAGCCCGCACCGAGCATGAAGTGCCCTCGTGCGGTGTCGCGCTCGACGCCCTTTCCTTCGAGCAAGGCCTGTGCGCACGCTGAGAGCGCGGTCGGTTCGTCCAGCTCCGCCGCCCGCTCAAACCACTCGAACTGCTTCAGGTCCACCGCCAGTCCCTTCTGCCCGTCCTTGTACCAAAAGCCGAGCTCCGCCATTGCGTCTCTGTCGCCGCCCTCCGCCTTGCGCCGCGTCTCCGCCACCCTCTTCTCCTCCTCGATCCGCTTCTGCCACGCCGCCGCCTTGTCGCCGCCAATCGCACCGCTCTTGACCATCCGCTCGATGTTGTTGCGGGTCTGCACCGCCGGGAAGAGCCGCGGGCCCATCGGCTCGTTGGTGATCGGCGACTTGAGCGCCTCCGCGCTGCGCCCTTTGATGTGCGCCTCGATCGCGCTGCGCTCGTACACGCGCCCGTCTTCGGCTGTCACCGGGTCGACCGGCAGCTCCTGCGTAATCGGGCAGACGAGCTCTTCCGCCATCTCAAGCGGCTCGGCCTGTGCGGTGAGGTCAGTGCGCCTGCCCCGTTGCGTCCAGTCACGCGCGGCGGCATGACAAAGCGGCTCAGCCCACACGGCTGGCGAGACGCGGGAATTTTTTTCTGGATTTTTTGTGCGTTCAGCCTGCTTGCGTGCGCAAGTCCACGCGCTGTTGTCTTCTCGTGCCGTGTACATGGCGTTCTTTCTCTCTTCTGCCTGGCCAGCTTTGCTGGCGTGGCGAAGGGTCGGCGGTGCGCGGTTGGCTTGCCTGCGCCTGTGCGCTGCCGTCAGGCAAAATGGGACAGTCGGAGGAGAGCCAGCCTCTGGTCGGAGGCTCGACCAGCCGGCCTCGCGGCGGCGGCGGCTTTGGCGTCAAGAGCGTCGCCGCCGTGTGCGCCGTGATGGCGCTCTATCTGCTCGCACCGTACCTGCGTCCGTCCGCGCAGCTGCCGGGCAACACGGTCATTAGCATGAAACCGGCGCCGAGCCTCACCTACCGCGACGAGAACGAGCGGCTGCGCGAGCAGATCGCCGAGCTGCAGGCGAAGCTCAAGAAGCGGCAAGAGGCAAAGGACGAGAAGGAGGTGGCGCAGATGGGGGCGGCGGCGGCTGCGGCGGCGGAGCTGCAGCGTCAGGCGCAGCAGCCGCCGCAGCAGGCGGTAGTCTCTCACCCTCCGGAGACGGCCTCGCATCCTCCGGCCGCCTCCAACGCCTCCGTCGGCAGGGCGGCGTACCGGCTCACGCGCGAGCTGATCCGCTCGCGCTGCAACGCGCACAACATCATCCTCGTCACATTCGTCAACTTTCAGCGCTGCGACTACGGGCTCACCTGGTCGGGGCACGTCGTGCGCCTCGGCCTGTCCAACTACCTCGTGGGCGCGATGGACGGCAAAGCGCTCGAGCTGCTGGCGAGCAAGAAGGTGCCGACCTTCGACATGGAGTCGGGACTTACCACTGCGGACTACGGCTGGGGCACGAAGAACTTCCGCAAGCTCGGCTTGCGGAAGTGCGAGCTCATCCTCTCTCTCCTCTCCGCCGGCGCCGACCCAATCGTCACCGACGCAGACGCGCTCATCACGCGCGACCCGACGCCGTTTGTGATGCGGCTGCGGCCAGAGGCTCAGGTGCTCGTCACCTCCGACCACCTGATGGCCACCGACGACGCCGCCGCCGAGTCGCTCGAGCTCCCGAAGAGAGCCTCGTCCTCCGCCTGGAACATCGGCTACTTCTACCTCCACCACTCCGCCCTGCCGGCCATCGCGCACTGGAAGAGGATGTGCGAGGAGCACCCCGACCTGTGGGACCAAAACCTGTTCAAGGACGTCTTCAAGATTGGGCGGCTTCGCTTCGAGACCAGCGGCGCCGACGCCATCCCGCAGGCCGAGGTGGACAAGCGCCTCTTCCGCGGCTACAACGGCACCGTCACCATCGGCATCCTGCCCGTCGCAACCTTCTGCGGCGGCCACACCTATTTCGTGCAGCGCATGCCGCAGCGGCGCGGTGTCGTGCCCTACTCGGTCCACACGACCTTCCAGTACTCTGGCGCCGTCGGCAAGACGCACCGGCTGCGCGAGGCGATGCTCTGGGCGGACGACGCCGCCTACTTCGACCCCCCCGGCCGCTCCTTCCTCACGTACGTCCCGGTGGTGCGGCGCGAGCTGCTGCGGCCCGCCGGCGTGATGGGCGTGGCGGCGCACTTTGAGGTGGTCCACCACCAGCTGGTGCAGCTGCGAGCCGCCTTTCTGCTCGCGGCGCGCCTCGGCCGTCTGCTGATCGTGCCCCCGCTGACGTGCGGAGTCGACCGCTTCTGGGCGCCCCACAACGGCACCATCCCCGGCTCGGACACGAGGCTGCCTGTCGAGCCTTGCCCGCTCGACCACGTGCTCGACCTCGAGAACGGGATCTCGAAGCACGCGCTGCCCGACTCGAGGCTCGCGAGGGACCCGGCAGGCCGCCCGCTCGGCGGCCTCGAAGGCGTGCTGCGAGAGTTCTCCTTCCTCAACAACTCGCGCACCCCGGACGCGGTCCGCCAGTCGCTCGCTTTCCCCGACCCGCCCGCCGACCTCTCCGCGGCGTCGCTCGCGCCGCTCGCCGCCGCCACCGCGCGCGTGCTGCACTTCGCGCGGATGCCGGACCTGTACGCCACGCTGCCGCCGGCGGACGCGACGCGCGTGCGGCAGGAGATGATGTGGTACACCACGCTTTGGTGCTGCTCCAAACCCGCGGCGCCAAAGACCCCGGGCCACATCTTTTACGACATGTTTTTCGACGTGGTGCCGCACACGGACAAGTCGCGGAGAGAGTGGACCGAGCCGTGGACGCCAAAGTTTGGCCCCTGAGCCTAGACGACGTTCGGACCGTTCCCCTGACCTCGAGCGTCCTCCACTGGGCATGCAGCACACGCACACACACGTCAGGGAGGAGACGGACCCCTGGGAAGTCAGCCCACGCGCGCGTCTGCTGAGTGCCGTCCCCAGAGTCCATGTCTTCCTTGTGAGACGAACTATGTGCATAGAGAGTACACGTAATGCGACGTACAGCCTACACACAAGGCTTCAAGAGCGGCCGCACTCTGCTCGCTACCCCCCCTGGCTAGTTCCATTTCACTGTGGCACAGCTCGCGTTACAAAACCTTGATTTGACCATTTGCGCAAAAAGGTACATCTCGGTGCCTTCCAGAGGCAGCT